TGACATGGAGCAAAAATCTAATGCAGTCTGCTGCGACCCGTTGGAGCAGCAACTAACACATCAGCTGGGAAATATAAAACATGTTACTACTTTTCTTTTTACTGTTGCAACCTTTCAAATGTCTCCTGTTGTTGTCTAAAGGTGTTTAGTAGACATGAGCTGTGCAGTATTTATAGATGAGACCCAACAACAACAAAAAATACAGTAACAAGCATTGTTTTTATTTTCTTGATATTTTATGATTACTACAGGAAAAGACTTACAATTCAGCTCAAAATAACTGATACTTCAACATAATGAGTACTAAAAAAAATACATTCAAAGATACTCTTTCTGGTTGAAACATGTATTTTTTTATTAAATACATAAAAATATAACGTCATTAAATTATGAGAATAAACTCGTACCATAATAAAGTCAAAATAATACGAGAGTAATGTAAAACCTAAAACAGTTTTGAAAATGTTATCAAGTTGGAAATGATAACAAAAAACTGCAAAAACACAAAATCTTACCAAGGAATTTTGGTCCAGTTTCTAGTGCAAATATTTCAGTTCACTTGAAGTAAGACAAAACTAACTTACAAAAAACTTTTCAGCAAAATAAAGGAGATTGTTTTAAGTCAATAACTAAAAAACTGCTATCTACCACTGGTAGATTATTTAACTGAAAACAAGACATTTTTCCCTTCTCACAAGTGAAATAATCTAATGTTTGCACTAGAAATTAGACCAACATTACTAGAAATTAGAAAGATTTGGGTGAGATTTTGTGTTTTGGTAAGATGTGTTTTTTAATTCTAACAGAAACAACATAAATCAACATTTCTTTCTAATATAAAAAAAATGTTTTTTTATTGTGCATTGATACAAGAATATAATAACACAGACGCAGGGACTGTATTGAAAACTAGATTTCAGTTTCTGCAGCCTGGTGTTGCTGGTCATCTTTTAGTTTGATTTAATCATAAATTTACAGTCTATTTTTGAAGACTGACCACATTCTCTGAGGAATTTCTTGGTCTGGCTTTCTGCTCTGCTCTTTTGTTCTTCCCATATTAATGTGTCTTCATCCAAAAGATGAATACAAAAGAGTCACATGTTGTTATTGGAGCTGCCTATTTTAGTAGTATGAGCTGAAATTAGTCTGATGTTGCCTCCAGCGACTTTAATTGGCTGCAGCAGTTGATTATGGCTCAGATTGACCCGACTAGCATGAAGCTGGAATCACAACAACATGGAGGAGATCTGCCAACATTTCTGGTTTTAACAGAAACCAACTTGGTCACTTTTGTTTTAAACCAAACCTTGTTTTTCTTACATATATTTGTATATTTCAAGCTACAGCTTTAAGTACAAAAGAGTGTTATAGTCGTACTAAGAAACACTTGAAAAATAAAATTACGAGAACATACTTGTATGTGAATAAAGTCGGAATATTACGACAATAAAAATAAAAGTTGTATGTCAATGTTAAATTTATTTATATTTATATTGCACGTTTGAAAACAGGTTAAAACTGCACTAAATGCTGTACAAAGGCAATTACACAACAGAATCAGTTGATGAGAAGAAAAATAATTGTAATAAAAAAAATAAAAATAGAACATCACAACTGAAAAGTTAAATGCTAACAACCAAAAATAAGCTTTAAAAAGCTATTTAAAATTACAAGAATAAAGTCGTAGTTGTCATAATTTTTACTTTTTTACCAGAAAGTTAAGAAAAAATGCATTAATTGATTTTTTTGTTTGTTCATCATAAAGAAAATATATACACAAATATATAAGAGAATATATATAAGAGACGCAAAATCAGTTTGAAACAAAAAACCAGAATCTTTTCACTCGTTTGAAACCACGTATATGAACAAGTCTTAACAGCTGAAGGTGTGTTCTGGGATTGTCTTCATCTGAGGAAGACGTTTACAGTTGAAGATACACAAGTAGCTCTGCTGCACAGCAGGACAGAAATAACAAGCAGCTGATCTTTATCTTCTGCTGCTTCTTTGTTGTTTCTTGATTCTTCTGTCACACACTTGGCAAGCCGTTAAACTCATTAGTATTCTGTCTGGACTTATTTTCTTTCCTATTGACATTTACATTTAAATTGTTTATCTGTGTGTGTGTGCGTGTGTGTGTGCGTCCTGTAATGAACATGCCTTTGCAGTTCCCTGAAGGCAGCCATTACCAACAACACACACACACACACACACACGCACACACACACGGACAGAAGATAATGTGAGCGGAGGAGGGAGGAAAAACGAGGCTGAGGATCCGTCTCGGGATTTTAAATCTCCATTTAAAATCATTAAGAGTTGAGGGATATGGAAGAATGCTGTATGTGTTGTTCACCAGCCTTTATTTCTCTTCTACTTTTAGTTTGCATGTTTTATTTGGAGCCTTCCTGCAGGATTTGTAGCATCTGAAAACTGGGGCATCGCTGACTTTGTTCTGGTGTCTTTGCTGCTTCTGCAGTTGAAAATAAAGTCGGTTTTGCAGGAGGAGCTGGTTGCTTTGTTCCTTTTGGAAAATGTTTGCTTAATAATTTAGTTATGCTTTGGTTTACTGTGGCTATCAAAAATAACGCAAGAAAAAAAACTGCACTTCTGCAGCGCATAGAAGAAGTACATAGATGCTTTATATTATTATTTCTTTCACTAATCAACCATGATCAACAAAATTGACTTTTTGGATGAAAAATATTGTCACTGTCAAAACTGATTTTCACAAAATACTTACAATTACATATTTATATAGAAATATGTAACATAAAATAGAAAAATTGAGTCATTGTAGATAAAAAAAATAGTGGTAATTTCCACCAAACAGTGATGTTTCATTTTAATATCAATGTTGTTTGTTTATTTTTTATGAGCTATTCAAATTATGTTGATCATGATTGATTTTTAGAAAACCTAAAATGGGTAAAATTTTATACTTTTTAAATGAAATATATATTTGTCATGTTGTAGGGGTCGTTAAGCTAAGAAAATGTCTATTTTAAAGCTGCGTTATGTAATTTTTACATATTTGTTGAAACTGTCACAACATGGTTACAGTTGGTTATGAGACAGGTAATGGGTGAACAAAGCAAACTCTGCCTCCTCCAAGTTCCAACCAATCAGAGCTAAGAGGCGGGTCTTAGCGCTGTCAATGGCAGTCCAGCTAAGGCTAGTTAGCATAACCAACGATGACAGAAGATCGTTTTCTCTGTCATTAGCACATTTTGCTGCAAGTACACAAACTTGATTGACAACGCTAAAACCCTCCTCCTGGCTCTGATTGGTTGTTTTTGGTGTATTTCTTCAAAAATGGGAAGGAGGTCAGTTTTCCACAGATTATCTGTCTCATAACAAACAATCATGACATGGTAACAGTTTTAAAAAATATGTAGAAAAACATATTTTTTAATGGTGGAGTTTTCAGAAAGAAATACACATGTTTGGATGCTGTTCTGAAAAGACAGCAGTGGCTTCAGGAACATGAATAATCCTCTTTAATTAGTTTAAAGAGGCGGAGATGTTTTCCCTGCAGCAACTGAAACGTTCCTTGTGCAGAATCGGAATCCTTCACAATAAAAGGCTCCTCATGTAATCAGACTGAACTCACTGACTCAGATGCAGATGATGCGTGTTTGCAAAACTTGAGAATGCTGAGAGCAGAACAAAAACCTCAAGCTGATTATCACTCTGCGTGTGTGTTGCTGATTGCTCGGCAGCATCCGTTCTCGAGCTTTTGTCTATCAGCATGCAGCCCTCATGACAATTATGCATCTATGCATGAAGGCGCTGAACGTGTGTGTGTGTGTGTGGATCCAGATGTTTGCTTCATTTTTATTCTCCCCCATCATTCCAATTTTTTTTGAATCCGTCTTCCTCCCCCTCAGTAAACCATCTGCACACGCGCAGCCCGCAGCAAGCCAGAGTTAATGCGCGCTGGCTCAGCCAGGTGGCCGCGCGGCCTCGTATCCGTCCTCATGCACCTCTGGCTCGCCGCTGATTGGACTGAGCGCAGCTGCTCTGAAATCTGCAAACCCTCTTTAACTGGGTCACTGTGTGTACTTTCAGCTTTTAGGTAGACTTTGTTCTGGGTTTCTCTGTACGTTCTCGATTAATAAACATGTACGTCTTTGCTGAGGATGAAGTTGAACAACAATTGAAAGGGAACAATAATGGGAAACAAACTTGAATATTTTGTGAATTTACATGCTTTCAGGCTGCATTTTCACAGTTTCTATAACCTATTTGCTATTTTATATACAATAACAACATGGTGTAACACTGACAACAAAAAATTTCCTTTAAAGCCAATTAAACCAGTGGACTCATTTTTCCATTAAAAATGTTTGTCTCATGTTGAAATAACAGTTTTGCAAGTGGGGCATTTAATTAAATAAGAAACTCAATTAAAATCACAGTAGATTAAGTTTGTTCATGTGATAAGTCAGATAAAAACATTCTGCGCATCATAGTCCTAACATTTCTTGTCATTTTCTTCGTATTTTCTGCCAGTAGTAACAGCCAGTAGTTGATTAGATGAGGAAAAAAAATAGGTTTTTCGAAATTGGTGTGTTTAAAAATATGTTTATCTCCTTAAAGGTTTTCAACAGGTAATTTAAATCTAGCAAGAGGGATGAATTGGGACATATATTCTAATTTATAGAGTTTGACTGTAATATCAGACTGAGATGGTTATTGATTGTTGCTGTGCTGATTTGCTTGTATGTTTTCAATCATTACGTTTTAAAATAAACCTATAATTTCCAGTTTATTGGGAAATGCAGCCAGACTTTATTTACAACAGAATGACTGCTTCTAAGTGTTCAGGATGCCGTTCACTCCAACATGTTTCCTGATGCTTTTGGACATAAATGTGTGTTTTTCCGGTCATTTTGTCTTGTTTTGTAAGTTGGTGGAGTTGAAGGAAACAGGTGTAACATTTGCTAAATAAAATTTTTATTGTTAATAACTTTAATATTTTGTCCCTTATCATGCAGCCAAGCATGATGTGAATGGAAACAGAACTATTCCACCCTTTCCAGAGGAGACACAGATGGTGATGTTTGGTAAGTGTCAGAATACACACCAGATGATTCATGGTACATAGGAAATAATTAATGTAAAACAGGAGGCAAGATGTGATATATAAACGTCTCCACTCTGGTTTCTGTAAGGCATGGGCTGTTTCTGGGGAGCAGAGAGGAAGTTTTGGAGTCAAAAGGGAGTTTACTCCACCCAAGTGGGCTACTCTGGCGGCTACACTCCGAATGCCACGTACGAGGAAGTATGCACAGGTAGCCTCTGCATACCAACACACACACACACACACACACACACACACACACACACACACACACACACACACACACACACACACACACACACACACACATGCATGTGTTTTCTACTGACTGTTAATAAACTGGGGAAAACAGGACAGAAACAGCGGAGCGCCTCATTTCCCTCAGGCCCTATTAAACCGGGGCATGGATAAGGCAGCTATTGATGCCTGACCGCTCAGAGCAGCGACTATTTCTGTGTGTGTGATGTGTGTCCAGACCCCCCAGTGGCTCTTCCAGTCCGCCAGCACACAGTAAATCCATCATTAGCCCCGCATCACCACCTGTCTCTTACTGTCTCACTTGGTTTTATTTTGTCAAACTGTTTATGAGTTTATCTTTATTAGATGATGATGATGAGAAATCAGAAATAAAAACTGCAACTATATGATTTAAAAAAACAAGGACTAAGAAATATGTTTTTTAGATATTGGTTAAAACTTTCACAAGTGCTGTCAGATAATGTATGGAAAGAGCTGCTATTGCCATCTGAAGAAATGCCTGCTTCTGATCAAAAACAACCAGTCAGAGCCAGGAGGAGGGTCTTAGCGCTGTCAATCAACCTCATCAATGCACTGCTAAATGTGCTAATGGCAAATGGCCTTGCTGATTCACTGCACTAAGACCTGCCTCCTGGTTCTGATTGGTTGTTTCTCGTTTGCACTGGGAGAAGAAAGAGGATTTTTCTCCATGGAAGTTCCTGGCAGTTTCTTCTGATTTGTGACGTTACACTCAAAAGAGTTTTTATTAATGGCTCATTTTCCAGACATTAACTTATTTCCAAAAACTGAAATTTCAATAATAAGTCATCTTTAAATCAATAGGTTTGACCATTTAAAACCCATCTCTAATTTGCTATGATTTGGTAAATCTGCACCAAAAATCACTAAGTAAACGTAATTGCTAATAAATGCTAAATATATTCAATACACTATTTGAAGGTTACCGACTAAACTGCAAAGTTTGAAAGTTGTTCTTTACTGTCTTGTCTAACATTTGGATATATGGTGTAAAACTGAACTTGAATACATTTGAAATGCTTGGAGGAACAAGTTGAGCGCTTGACTTATCGGCTTTGGAGGGTTATTGGAGGAGAGGAAATCCCACGTATGAATTTGTGAGTCATGTTTAGAGTCACGGTTGACTGTGTTACTCATGTAGATGTTTTCTCCCCGGACAAATCGAGGAGATTTGTTTTGTTTTTAAATCATATTTCTTGTCTGTTTCTTTCCTTCTTCATTATTTCTCATCAGAAAGTTACTGTAGCATTTCATAGTTTGCATGGTGTTGACAGTTTAGATATAAATAGGAAACTCTGCGTTTGAACTCTTAATACAGCGTTTTTAATTAGCTTTGTGTCTTTGCTGGAAAAGGCCACTTGGCTGAATAAAGAGCTCCTCCAACCTTAACATATTCAGGAAAAACAACACTTGAATATTCACTGTTGGTTAAATAGTTGCGGTCAAATCAGCTTAGGTCCAATTTGTGATGATTAGATTTGCATATTTTTACTCTGTTTTGAGAAGAAGTTCCTGTTTGTAGGTTTGAAGACATGCTGTTCAGTTCTGCTCTCAGGTTGAGTCTTGTTGTTTTTTGTCTCTTATTTGTTGATGGCTTTCTTCATACATTTTCTTTCTTTTTACAATTTTTCTGATATTTCTTAAAGTTAATTCTTAGTTTAAAAAATTCTTATTGCAGTTTAGAAATGTCTTTTTGCTTCAAATCTTTGTTCTGTTTAATTTTTTTGGTTTTCAGTTTCAAATCTTTTATTGTTTTCCTTTTTTTAGTTTGTTTGGAAATTTTCTGTATCAAATCTTTTTTAAGTTTAGAATTTTTTGGCATCAAATATTCCTCTTTCTTTAAAATTTTTACAGGTTAAAATCTTTTTTCAGTTAAAATGTTTTTCAAATATGCTTTTCAATTTTATTTTTATTTCAATTTTAAATCCTTTTAAATCACATTATTTTTCTTTCAACATATTTTGTTTTCAAATCTCTTTTGTTTCCATTTCCTTTTTATTTTTTTTACTTGTGGGTAATTATTTTTCATTGATGTTATGAAAACAATCACAATAATGCTGTTTGGTTTTTTTTGCGTGCATATTTTAAGTAACAAATAGTGTTTTTTGTTTGTTTTTTATTCAAGCCACAGGAACAAATGCTTGAGCATGGTTGTGTGCATACATGCAAACTTTCAGGAGAGTCGCTGGCTGTACAAACTGTTCCCTACTTTGGGTCATTCCAGGCGTATTTTTGTGTCAAGAAGGGCACTTATCATTTTGAAGACTGAAATAAACAGTCAAAAATAATTAACTGGAGAACATTCTAGCTACATGCAAGGCATGTGATGCATGAACAGTAATTATAAGAAAACTTATTTTCTCAAACTGACTTCACCTTCTTAGTAAAATGGTGATTAAAGCACAAAAACACAAGTTTGAAGCCATTTATAGTTTTAATTTAAAGTCGTTTTACTCATATTTGCATCAAACTATCAAGAAACCTTTTTCTTTTCTTCATGAAGTTGCACATAACTTTACTCTGTTTCTTTAGGCCAGTTATTATAGATTGAGCTCCAGGATGGCAAAGCACCTGGATTTGAGCAGCTCTTCTGCTAAACAGTTTGAGGCTTTGAAAGGGATGAGAGTTAAGTCGCATCCTGCTGCTGGTGTTAGGTTGTCCTCTGGGACTCATTTATGTTGTTTCCAAGGCTGAGAGAAATAAAAACACTACACAGACTGTGTGAAAAAAGACAATACATGTAATTTTTACTATGCAGTCAAATTAGATGTGCAAAATGTGAAGAAGAATTCCACAAATTAATGGTAATGTTGGCCACTTTTTTGGTTTATATTGTCTTTTTCATGCTGCAAACAATGAAACTTATTTTCTGGCACAAAAGGTTTTAAAACTTCTACAGAATTAGAAAATTTGCCCGCTTGGTAATCCAACACGTTCACCTGACTGCTTCATTCTGAGTAACAGCCTGATTATGAGATCATTTGGCACCTGGATGTACATTTCCTACCAGCTGCCGCTTTATTTTCTGCTCCGATTCCAATCTTTACTGTATTTCCCATCCAGTCCGAGATGAATTTATTCCTGCGAGATTGGCCTGGTGAGACATTAATTTAATGCGGACCGCTGCTTTGTCTCTGTTCGCCAATATCTGCCGTAGGAATCCATAACTCCTGATATTAAAAAAGTAATAAGGCAGAGAAAGACATAGGAGTGGAGGTGGAATGAGAGACGTGGAGAAGATGAGGTGTCACGTAATGGGTCACACTCATTACCAGCGCCAGCTGCTGTTTGACTCGCAGCAGAGGAAATCTTTCTTCTGCAGAAAATCAGTTTTGGACCAGCCTGGCCTTTCAAGGACACCTGATGGATATTGTGTCTTTCTTGTGTAAATCTGCTCTTTTTTTAAGGTTGTACATCTAAAAAGAAGAAATCCTAAAGCTCTCATATTAAAGCATTAAAGCTTCTGCTCTGAAGGTTTGTTATGCTATGGATTATATGATTCAGTCACTTTATGCCAGAAAAACATCAAACAACCAAATCAAAAGATTACTTTCTGCCAATGATCAATACTTACTGAAAGGGTTTGATTTAATATTGTTTGTTTTGCGATTGTAGCAAAATGGATCATCCAATAGTCTTAAAGTCGGATTATATCAAGTTTTTATCGAGGTCTGATTTGGGTCACTTTCACTGTGTGAATGTTGCCTAATTCTTGGTTTGGGTTTCTTCTTTTCCCTAAATAGATGAAAAATAGTTCAGCATTTACTGATATTTAAGTTCTAGCATTGATGCTGATGGTTGTATTTTGCAGGCAGGACCGGACACACTGAGGTGGTGCGAGTTGTTTACCATCCAGAGAAGATCAGCTTCAACAGCCTGCTGAAGGTCTTCTGGGAAAGTCACAACCCGACTCAAGGTAAACACAACATTCATGTCTAAATCCTGCAAATAGAACAAGAAGGGTTTTATTTTGAGTTTATATTAGGTGTGAGCAATACAGACTTAAAGCTGCAGCTTAAAATGTGTTTTTCATGTATTAAAACTGTTACCATATTGTGACAGTGTCATATGAGACAGATAATGTGTGAAAACACATCTCCATCTCCTCTTTGAGCTGTTAATGCTGTCTGAAGAAATGCACCAATAACGACCAATTAGAGCCAGGAGGAGGGTCTTAGTGCTGTCGATCATCCCATGAATGCGCTGCTAAATGTTCTAATGGCGGAGAAACAACTCATAGTTTCAGAAAAACTGTTAATCTGACGTCATCGGTGTGAGTGCATGACACAGCAGCATCAATGACGACACAAACACAAGTCGCAATAAATTAATTAACAATTAATCGCTTCATATACTGAAACAAATTCAATAATTTTTATTTGCATGATTTATTGTTTCTCTCCATCAATAAATGTCTTCAGTCTGGTGATTTGTTCTCAACTAGCACTTAGTTTGAAGAACAGTTTTCTTTCTAGAAACTTCATAGTTCACTTTATTTGTTGTTTCTTGTTGTTTTGTTTATTTATTTTGGCTATTTAGAATGTCTTCAAGTTCCAGGGTGAATTTTCATCAGAATTTAAAGTTTATTGATTTTTAAGAACTTAAAAATGGTGTCAAAGCAACAACATTATTACTTGCAACAACAACAACTTCTGGGACGATTCACAGCCCCATTTGTAATGTGTTTCTTTACGACACAAGAACTGTGATTTCTATCACAGTATTTTCAAATTTACTGATATTTATTGACGCTTTCATTGAACAAACAGTGGAAAAATTTGTAAATACTATCAATCTTGACAGTAATAACAGTTTCGGGGGTTTAAACATCATTAACTGGAATTTATTGTGACGACGCATCAGTGCTGAAACTCCAACCAGAGAAGAAACCAGTGGAGCTGACAGACTGCTCACATGGAGAGAGTGAAGTGAGGAGTTTCCTGCAGTGTTTATCCCACTGCTAGTGGGATAAATTCCCACTAGCAGTGGGAATTTATCATGATAAATCCCCACTGCTAGTTTTTGCTCGCGACATATGATCAATAAATGTATCATTTTCAAACCTGTTCCTACATTCGACTGATTAATAGAGCATCACATATGTGAGCCAGCCTTGGAAAGCTTGAAACATTGAGACTGACAGACTGACAAGCTGACAGTGAAACGATGACATGATCAGTCACGAAAAAACAGCTTTCAGTTCTGCCAAGGCAGAAGAAGACAGGTTATATTTTTGGAAATGCTGTCGGTTGTGGTTTGCCAAGAACTGAAGACAAAGACGCCACGCTGCCATCGAGATCCTCGTTTTAAAAAATGAACATGTGTGTTTTCAGGAATGCGTCAGGGGAACGATGTCGGGACAACGTACCGCTCTGCCATCTACGCCTACACTCAGGAGCAGCTTGACGAAGCGTTGGCCTCCAAGGATCAGTACCAGAAGGTGAGCAGATCCACCGGTTTTTGTTATCTGAACAAAAACATTTTGATTTTTAAGGGATCCACCATTAGTTGAACATGTTGCCCTAAATAAGTTGTAATTTTCCTTTTAACTTACATAATGCTGTTTGTGATGTAGCAAAAGTCGTTATTACTTCAGATATTTTTTTTTATACTTTTCACTCTTGGAGGTGGCAATTTGTGAACCTGATGGGTTGATGATCCATTCTGTACTGGAATCTACAGAGTAAACACAAGAAGGCTAACTTTACCGTGGTGTAATCTTAGATAGTACTACACTGCATTGCTGTTGGATGTAATTAAAAAATAGTGAAAGTCACTATATATTAAAAAATAGTGACTTCCCACATGATTAAAGAAAAAAAAGAAGAGCATGGTCAGAAAAAGCTTCCAAAGGACCAATTTGTGCGCTCAACATTTCTCTCCAGAAGACGTTAAGTCATTTATACGAGCAAAACTGATGAAGGCGCTAACAGGTGTTACCTTTACAAGCTAAAAATAAATGCGGTACCAACAGTTTTTATCCACAAAGCTGCAAAGCCCTGCAGCTGCTGCAGCGAAAACCACTGGGACAAACTTCAGACAGGCAGCACAGAAAACTCTTTGCAATGCTAACATAGCTTATGCTACTGCTGCCGTTTCTGATTGTGAAACCACGGAGCAACACCGGACCGTAAACTTCTGTTACCGTACTGGCACAGAACAATAAAAGTGCTTACCGGATCACACAGTCCAACCAGAGGTATATGTCAAGCTGGATGGAGCTAGCGCAATCTGACTGAGCATACATCATTTACCCAGAATGCATTGCAGCAACATGGCGAAGTCCTTATGAGAATATTTTATTGAGATTTATAAAACCTAAACATCCTGCAGTGTTATTACTGTTTTGTTTTAACATCTAAAATAAATATTTCTGAGATAAAGTCGATTGTTACAACTAAATGTGGATCCCTTTAAAGAATCTGGAGAAAAGCCGAGCTGTGTATGAGACAGCTGGGAAGTTTGTAGAGGACAGAGAGTTTTCTTTTTGTAACTTCTTATCAGGTCAGTGGGAAGAGGAGAACAACATCAGGGGACGGACAGATGGATTGCAATTAGAGTTTTATTTAAAGACGAAACTGAGATGTAGCAGAGCCGGCAGTCAAAAGGAAACCAACACACAAAGCGAAATGGGCCTGGCAGAGCGACTCACTGAGACAACAGAGATGATCCAATGTAACAGCATAAGCCTGACGCTAAAGAAAAAACAACCAAAAGAGCTAAATAACCCCAACAATAACTAAAAACAACTTTCACCAGGGACAAATGCAACAGAAAATGCTGCAATCAGAAAATAGAAGCAAAGGGGAAAATGCCGCATATAGTCAAAATAACAGCAAATGTGAAAATTTGCTCCATAAAAGTCCTCCATACAACTTGGCCTTTTCAGGCCACTTACCCATTTGACAAACACTCATGGCTGCCTATGCTGAAGTTGCCCCACAATAACACAACATCTTAGAAAATGCAACCTGAAATAAAAATATGAGTAGCTCATTGTCTTAGTTCCTCCCAATGAGAAAGGTGGTGCTGTTTTGTAAACATGACTGGCCATAATTGGGGCATTTTGAGTTATTTACAGATTCTGAAAAGGTGGAAGGTTTCCAATGATAGAAAGTACCAGGAATTCAAAAAACTTATTTAATACAAGAGGCATAATTTAGAAGCATCATAAACACATAATAGATTTGAGTTGTGTTAGCAAAAAAACATTTTCTTTCAGAACATAGTCCACCATGAATCATTTTACTTTTGGTGTTAAGATGCAGTTAGTCAGCATGGGGCGCAGCGTTGCTCTCTGCCTCGTCACCGGTGGAGGGATATGCCAGTGACGAGGCAGTGAGCAGCGCTGCGCCCCACGCTGATTGACCGCATCTTAACACCAAAAGTAAAATGATTTATGTTGGGCATGTGGCATGTTATGTATCATAGTAGTATTAAAAAACAAGTTATTTAACTCACCCTCTTCGGTTTTTCTTTTTAATGACGCAGTCTTAAGCCATTTATTAAACACAATCTTTTGCTAAGTTAACTCTTCGAGCTCACCTCACAGCAAATAGAGTTGTTTACATGCAGTATGTTGCGGACCACTAGGGGGCGCCTGTGGACCACCACTGTTCCAGCTACCAAAGTTTTAGAAAGTTGCACTTTCTAAAAAGTGCAACTTAAATGAGCTACTGCTGTTCTCTAATATTGAAGATGTTAAGTAAAATTCTTGATTCTTCCTCCAACTTGGTTCTTGAACAAGTTAATTATTAAAATCCAGGAATTAATTCATCTACTGCTTGGACTAAAGTTAATGCTGAGCAAAGTTTCCCTTTGTCTGACACTGACTTAAACATTTGGCATTTTGACTTTTCCGTCTTCATTTTTCCTCGTTATCCTCCCCGTTGCCCGCTGGCTGCTGCGCAGGGGGGCGGGGATTAAAAACGAAGCTCATTAAAATCCCTGCTCTCACTTAAGGTAACTATGCACAGTTTTGCAGTGCGTTGCCTCAGTTTTGTTGCCGTTTGCTGAGGTCAGATCTAATCTGGTGCTTTTATTTTTTGACCCTTGTGTTAAATATTTTATGGCTCCTCATCTGACTCAGAGTTTTGACCAATTTTCACTGAAATCAAGCTGTTTTGCTCCTTTTCTGCTATTAAACAACTGAAAGTATAAATTTTTTATATAATTTTTGTAATTTTCCAACTTTTCTGAACCAAAACTCCTTTTAAACATTTTTTTAAACCCTAGTATCAGGCATGATTTTCGTTTTTCATCTGTTATTCCTAATGACCTGAGTTTTAATTACATAATTTGCCGACAGCTGATGTAGAAAAATCTATTTTATATAAAAAATAGACTTGTAAACACTGAAAAACAAAGGATTTTATATCTAATATTTTATATGTTTTAGTTATTGTTATAAACACACAATATAGTTGCAATTAGTTCTAGTTTTCCCCGTTAATCACTATTTTTATTTGTTTCTTTTGTTTTTTTTTACTTTAGCTTTTGTTATTTTGTCAGTTTTAGTTAATTGTTTATTAACAATTGCTCCAGAATGGTTTCTGTTTTGGAAATCAGTTGTTGGCATCATCAGGATTCAGTCTGAAAATGAAACATTTCCATTTTTATGAATTTCAGTTACTAAAAATGATTTATGCACTTCAGTTTTCATCACTTTGTTAGTTTCAGTCAACTCTATGACGCACATTGTTCTTTAAAAATCTTTTCAGCTTTTGTCAGGATTCATATCAGCTTGACTTCACTTCCCAGCATTCCTTGCTGCTCTCCGGACCCGCTCCCTTCGTCAGAACCGTTCCTTTTGCTTCTGCTTGTACATGCAGCTCGTATACGTCTGAACGCTTTTAAAGTCCACTCACACAATAAGAAGTTCGCACGCCGCCTCCCTCGTCGACTCGTCTCCCGCTGAGGCTTTCCACCGCCATCGCACCAAAAGGCTTGTTTCCATGGAAACTGACGGGGTAGAGGCTACTCTATTCTTTTCTAGTGTAGTCTGGTCTTCATTAGTCTTTTTTTCTCTCCTTCTCCTCACCCTGTTTGGCCTTCCTTTTCTCCTCTTCTTTTTGAAACCTCTCTTTTCTTTTCACCGATATCCGTCTGAAAAATAAAACGCGTGAAAGGATTTTCTGTTATTGCTGGGCTTTTTGGGGTTGTCCCATCGCTTTCAGCTGGTTTGAGGCCTTTTATGTTCAGAATGAATAGAAAACAAAGTCAGCCGACAGGAAGGTGGGACGAAAACTGTAAGCAGATCTATGAACAGCCCCCCGGAGGAGAGATAGAAGGATGAGGTTGAACACGCGGAGAGGTGAGGAGTGGAGATTCAAAAGGTTAATTAACAGAGATGGTAGAGATTGTTGTGACTCTAACTGCTTCAATACAAAACTGCTGAAGTGAAATTGTTTATCCTTTTGAAGGTCAGGCTCTTTTAAGGGACTTTGCACATATTGATTTACTTCTGCTGCTTGTTTTCTACAAGCGCTTGAAGTTTCAAAATGTATAAAAATAATCTTTGGTTTGTTGCAGGGACTGTAAGTGCAAATCGTTTACCTGGAAATCAGACTTATTACATCTTCAGTTATAATTGTCTGTTTTTGCTTAAAACCAAGATGCTTTCAGACATTTGGGTTGCTGAACAATAAACGTGATAAACTTGGACCCCCATCTTTTTATGGAGGCATATCAGGACCACTGGATGGTAAAAAAATCTAAATATAAAGTAAATTTCCACCAACAATTCAGATATTTAAGGTTAATTTCTGAAATTGACATAAAAACACTGGAAATTTCTTAGTTTAAAAAGTAAAAAAAATTCTAGAAAAAAAATTTTCATTAAAAACTGCACCGTTACCTAGCAACCCAAGCTGAGCTCAAGCGCATCTAGTCACTGGTTTCGCCACTGCATGCGCCGTACAACGGCTGCTGGAAGAAAAAGGTATTTGGTAGTTGACTTGTCATCCATTCTTGTCAGTTGTGCAGGAGGCTCCACTTCTGCTTTTCAAAGATGGACGGTTGTATAATCTGTCTGCAGTCATTTTCACGTGGGAGTGTAAACGTTGAGTTGAGTGGCCAGCAGCAGCTTATTTGGATTTAAAGTGACATGCAGTCCATAAGTTCACTGTTTATTTTCCAGTCTGTTTGGCTGCAAACATCTAATTGTGCAAATCTAATCAGTAAAATAACAGAAACCATTGTGTCCAGGTTGGTGGCCATAGATCTCATCCAAGAATTCATCAGCATCGGCTCTGATACCGATGTTGGATCAGATCAGCTTCATCTCTGTATCACTGGAAGAGCGGTCTCTTCCAATCAAACAGACCGCTGGCGCTTTGGTTTCCTTTTTCCTCTTATTTTCTCGCAGAAACTCAAACGACTTTCTCTGCGTAATAGAGAGATTTCCTGACTCCGGCTCTAACAACCATGTCCTCCTGAAAA